CTCAAATCGCTACTGAGATTTTGTTGAGAGAGAGCCAAAAGAGAGAATTGTTTTTGTGCATAGAGAGTTGCACTGATATATGTAACCATAGAATTTGGCACAGTGGACATAATGAAGAAAGAAATTGAAATATTATATGAGGGATGAAAACCAACCAGCCATGTGTGTATAAGGTGTATGGTGTTTGAATTTTAGAATGTCTTTGTATTTATAAACTTCAATCAGCTAATTAACTAACACAGTGCACAACAACATCATATAAAATGTATTTTTATTCAATTGGCCAATAGAAACCTGTCGTTTTCGTTTGAATTGTGAAATTTATAGATACATGTATCTATAAAGATGGGAGGAATACTTGTGTTGCGCTGAGAGAAAATAAAAAAATGGGATGCCCATGCTTGTTTCCATGATAACAGTGTATGCTTCCTTCTGGCAAGTCATTTTAATTTGAAAATTTATTGAATTTTTGACAAATTAGTCTAGTAGAGAATTCTACAAAATCTATTACTAGTATTGAGTTTTCCCTTGGCAATTATATCATATTTGCTTCCAATATCACCCTAAGGTTGTGAACTGCCTTTTACTTTGACACCTTATCCCTTAGCCATAATAAGGGACTTCCAACTCCTAATGAGATGTCGCATAGAGTGAGTTTAGAATAGGTAGAATCACATGACATAGCACACTTTTCTGTCATAGCAAGCAAGGTTTTTATTACTTCTGTGTGATTTTTTGGACATCACTAAATTTCTGAGCTAAGAAAATGGTTTACTGTAAGTGAATTTACAGAAAGTTTTACGTAAATTCATGGCAGGAAGAATATAATGACTATATATACTAATAGTAAATGAGAATATGTGAATGCTCTTTTGTGCTGCCCTGTGAGGCTGATTGAACAATACAAAATTCATCTGTGCTCAAATAATTTAAATTTGACCATCTACAAACACTTTTGTCATTCATGTGCTACTAATAGAGCAATTATGGTACAGTGATTTTGAAGAGACTACAATATGGATTTATGCATGCTATGTCACATGTCTGAAAGTAAAAATGTTTTAATATGATCCTGAATGTTAGGATATAGATCAAGGTTGATGTATTCATTGTTCAAAATCAGTGGACTATATTTTCAATGCTTTATTTGAAGTGCAATGTGCTCCACCCATTATAAATACAAGTACATGTACCTATATTGACTATTGACTGTACTAGTATATTGTGTAGACTACACCAATGAACTGTGTTGATCCACCAAAACACAACTAAAGCTCACCGCAACCAGGCAGTACAGTACCGGTACTCCATTCTTATTGAAATAATTTAAAGGGCGGCAGTCGTCGTGCCGCGTCCTGTTCGATATGGGACTCATAGCGACGTTTACAACGCGTGTAAAATACATTGTTTATTTACATGTGATTCGAACGCGCGCTGCGCGACGACCACCGCGCTTTAAAATCATGGGAGTCATTCTTGTTACTGTGAATGCCATTAGATTCAGTGGTAGTTCTTGTCAAAACAGTACTGTGCGTAAGAGGAGTATGCATGAAAGAAATTATTTGCATTCATGATCACCGCCACCTTTTCACAAATAAACTTTCGGTGAATCAGGTGTGATCACGACCTGCTAAAATGTTAATCGCCAAAATCACACCTTTTACACAACTGACAATTACACGCGATATTTCCATCATTTGAATACTTAAAGAGCAGTGGTTGTTCCATATCGCGTATACGAGCTTCGAGTCCCATATGGAACAAGAAGGTGGCGCGACGACCACATCCTCAAAATAACGATATAATCAACTTTCGACGAAATGTCGCTCACCACATAATACGTGAGCAGATGTTCACCCCTCCCTCAACAAGTGAAGTGGTGAATGTCAAGTAGGAAAAATTGAAGAAACATAAAGTTCTGTTTCGCGTTATTGGTCCTTGTGCGTCTAACTAATGCGGGGATAGTGACAGGCAGTTCGATTAATTACGTCTGTTTTCATTGTAACAAAGATGTATTCACTGTATATGTGTCATTACATCAACTAATATTGATACAGGTGAAAGTTATAAAGGTCAGTATGTGACCCATTTTAGCGTGTGTTTTTTTTTTTTTTTTTTTGTATATCGTTATAAACTTATCCGGCGTATATATTTGTATGAAACCGAGATTGCACGCGTGCCGAATATTGCAAAAATGCTATACTAGAATACTGTTTTAGCGAATTTGGCAATCAATAAGAATAAACTGCTTATTATACCTTTGTAGCACAAAAGGCCCGCTAACATTCGTGGTTTCTGGCATAGTATGGAAAGTAAAACAAAATAGTAGTCATGTTCCCTACTTTAAAAATACTATAATTGGAACATTGAATCATAAAACCATAACGTTTTATTTGCGGGAAAGCCCCGTTAATAATAGTGATAATTTACGGGTTGCGTAAGGAAGAAAAAATGTTGAGCGGTCTCCTAAAAGAAACAAATATAGGCTTAGTATAAACTAAAATCAGTGATGTGATGACTTAACATTTTCGTCAGTGAATGGGAAATACTGAAGAAATCTGACGATCAGTTCTAGGAGCATGCGCACTCAATGTGCTATTATGAACGCCGCATCGCGCACCTTATTAGGCACGCTACGCGGCATCGAAGTCGGAAGTGTTATTTAACAACTGTATTCCATTTTTATTTCCCGAAAATGTATATGTTATCTACAACTTTGGTGTGAACTACAATGGCCATATAACATAGCTATAAAACATGCACCAACTACACATGTATTGGGCAATTGAATACTGAAAAACTTAGTTGGATATTTGTGCTTGAAGTAACCCGGCCTGCGAACTTGGTCGCTGTTCCACGATTATACATCACTGTGTTCTTCTCTACTACTCTGTCACTTGAATAAATTGTTCATACTTTTACTACAATACAAACATGTACGACTTTCAGCCTCTTTCAGTAGTGATAGTCGTTAAAACAAGATGGGTAGCTGGTTCTACAGAAAATCCGTTCTAATAACATACCAACAACAGTACAGTACGTATGTGCTTATATTTGTGATATGTATTTTAGTTTCCAAAAATTATCACGACGACGTTTATCAGTCGAACTCTCTCACATTCCTGTCCCACTAGTAAATGTAGGGGAAACATGGATACTGGCTACTCCGGATACCACTATATCATTAGTTGTAATGTTTGGAAATCGAGTCTACAATATACCAATTGTATCTCTGACATCTGCAACGAAGTAGATCCGGGTCTGATTCAGGCACTCTCGTGGTTTTCATATGTAATGTGCTATTGATTTCTTAGCTCTGATCGGCCTTTTAGATAAAAAAACAAACCTCAAACTAACATTCAGGGACAATTTTGTTGTTTCAAACTGCTGATCCGCGAGTTTCGAGGATATTTGTTTGAGGGACACAGCACGCATAAGATTAGTTTTATTGCTTTAGGTGATTGCACGCTATACAGGTAAGCGACGCACAGTAATATCATAAATAATGCTATAAATAAGCTAAATTTCATGTGAATGTTTCGCGGAATAATTGTAAAGCCGCATTTTTGTAACGTTGCCATTAACAAAAATCGTTTGGGTTTCTTGGCACAAAAAACAACATTGTTAATTGTCATTAAACGTGCTATGAAGCATGAAGAACAAACATATTTGCAAGGTGAAGTACCCCCAAAATAATATCAGAGGCCCCTTCCCAGAATGAAATATCATCGGCAGAGTAAATATACTGAAAGGACGATGGTGTTCGCTTTCGATATGGGTCACGGTGCGGCGTATTCGACGCTGTTTCTTCACACAGATTTTAGTCGTTATTGTTTCCAGAGAGTGAACGTACTTAGAAACCCGGGACAAGGTAGAAACCAGCCAACGGGTACGCGAGGCACTCAAACAGTCTGTAAATTATGTTTTAAAATGGCCAATGGATTCCTTTTTGACATTTTCCAGGGTCAGGGGGTCCCTTTTTTGAATTTTTCAGGAGTCTAAGTTGTGTTGATATACAGCATGTAATGTATGACAATGATAGGTCCATTTTACCATGATTTCTTTTGCTGTAAAAAATGTTTAAACCACTTTAAAGGGTGGGTTTCCACCGACAATTTGATTTAAAGGAGTTTGGCTTCCCGGGCTGTGATTTTCACCAGAAGTTGGAGCCTTACATACACGTATATAAATAATACAAGTGATCCCGGGCTTAGAAAGTAGTGCTATTTTTAACGCATATAAATCTTTGTCACTTCTTTCTTTATCAGACCGCTGATATGTGGTGTTTACACATACTAGCAAATCCAGGTTAGTCATTGGTTGGAATCGGTAAACAAGATTGTAACAAGCGATAATCAAATATTGAAAGAATAGTAACAAATTTGAGCTGCACTATAATCCGACAACCGATAATCTAATATGAAAGCCGAGATACGGATGATCTTGGAAGGCGCCGGTGATAATCAGACCTTCGAATGTCATTACAATCCCTGGCATTTGGCTATGGTTTGCGGAGGGCGTGGGCTGGGAGCGTTATCTCACTTTCGCTGACGGACATGCGCAGATCAGCTGACGGTGTTTTGTGCCGACCACGCACGTCTACGCAGTTAACCCTTGTACATAGTTAGAGCGATTCTTATCCGTGATATTTCTCTTTAAGTGGCTAGTCAAGAATTTACTATACGTAAATGTTGCTTGCCTAAACGACTGTTCAAACTTAAAATCATGGAGTTGTTTTGCCTCCATGCGATAGAAACATTAACACGATCAACAGGTCGTAGTTGGATTATTACAGTGCAATGTAAAAATCCCAGAGTGTCGTGTGACAGCAAAAGTGCGTTATATTTTAAAATTTAGTTGCCGAGGCTTCTTGACATTTCAAGATATACCTGTCTTTCGTGGAGAGAGTAATTATCGATCGGTACGAAACCGTGCAAGCGGGCGATGTTGGGCGGTGACGCCAACCGTTAAATGAAATCATTCCTGTATTTTCCTCTTACCTTCTTCCCTCTTCTCTTTCTTGTAAAGCGCATTCTTTGACGTCTCTTTGCCATTGTGTGTCTGTGCTGATATAGTAGGCAGGGAGCGTTCCGATATGAGCCGCAGGGCCAGTACAGCGTGCCGCGTCAAGTGAATTAGTGGGGTGATCGCTCCTCGGGTATATATGCGGAACCATATACAAAAGCAATAAATCAACGCACATAGCGTACGAAAGTGAAGTTGGTTAATATGTGACTATTCTAGTTGGTCATTCAGTAATAAATAAAGAAAACAAACTCAGATCGGATCATGTCGCCGATATCGCCGCCTGGCCACCTGTGAAGTGATGTAATTAACAAAGTTCAACTTTTACACCAGCTATGAACTTTCTCCGATACATAGAACAGCGGTATCGTACGACAAGTTTCCCAGTCGTGTGCTGGTTTCGTTAATGTGTTACCGCGAAACACAAATAAATGTCAATATAACCTGGTCTTTCCCCATAGCTTCAATCCTAATTTGTTGAAATTATTCATTTTTTCAAGAGTCCCATACTGTTTCCCGATCAATGGAAATTGTCCAGCCACGCCAGACCATCGTGGTCTATCCGCGTTAAAGAAATACGCGATATCTACGTCACAAGAGACCCACACCGTACACGACGCGGTGCGACGATTGTGGCGCTTTGACAAGCATCGCTGTGACTTTCCGATGCAAATAATATGTAGCGTGGCGTATGCAGATCTTCCTTACTTCGGTTCATTTAGTTAAGGTCATCACAATCTGACAAGTACATGGAATGTAAATTTTGGATTTTTATTTATTACAACCTTATGGCGTTTGTGTTCAGAAATCAAGAGTTTGAAACTTGACTTAATTAATTGAGGATTTTTATTTCTCACTTCAAAAATATTTTAATCGAAACTTTTACTCTTAAATGTTTATTACTTCAATTTCGCGGTTACTACAGTTTAGCGGTGTTCATATAGTAAATGGTTTTAAAAAATCGACGATAGCAGGAAATACGAAAAAACCACAATTTTGTGATTTGTGCTCGCCTCCGTGTAAGCACGTTACGTGCATGTGGGTATGGAGCTTTATGGCGGATTGGGTAAAGTCCGGTGATTAAAGGGGAACTAAATAGAGTCTATGTGTGACAAGAATCTTCGGTCCGGTCAGTTTGAAGTTTCCATTGGTCGGGATTATATTTTTCTATGTATTCGCTTATTATCGGTGGACCATTCAACACTGATTCAGCAAAAGTCGGGTAGGCAGAACGCGACGATTCGAGAAAACTGCCAATATCAATGCGTGCGTCAAAACATAATAAAAATACCATGATCCCGAGATACTGGAAATCTGTAAAACCACACTTGGGGGGGGGGGGTAATGCCGAACGAAAGTTTGATGTCTGATTGTCCAGAAAGTCCCAACCTGGCACATCATTTTGTCACGAGAAAGAAATAAAGAAGCCAAAAAACAAGCAAAAAAAACATAAACTTTTTCTCAAATTTGACACCGTACTTTCGCCTGTATTTGTTCTTGTATTTAGTCTTCTTGTTTGACGTAACAAATTTGAATAGTTTAGTCTGTGCACGGTTACTCAAAAAGAGTCTGTGTGGTTGAAAGCAAATTACTAGTACACAAATTTAAATAAAACACTAATTTATTAGCGAAGCCCAGTATGAATACTGACATTGACTTAGTTAGTGCCCAGGGTGGCATAATTTACCTTGCCACTTATGTGAACAATAAGGGGATTAACAACACAAAGGTTTATGAATACTGATTATCGCCATTCTTTTGTTTTACCACTATGAAGTACTAGTAACTGGTTTCTTTGAACTTTTATGCAACATCATGAAACTCTTTTTTTCTCTCTCCATGATAGCAGCCTCCGTGGACTGATATGAGGCAGAGCTTCTTCATTAAACGGTAATTTTGCATGTAAATTGTTAGCATTCACTCATTTAAGAGAGTCTAAAAGTAATACACGCTTACTTCCCATTCAATGCCAAGAATGATATCTCTTTTTACCTCCATGCTCACAACATGGGGACGTGAACCACAGAAATACATGTAGTTACATATCAGACTATAGTAGCCTGAGATTATACATAGGCCCATGTTCAACGTAAACGCACGTAAACTTGGCGAAAGATAGAAATATTTGTACCGGGCAGGTTACGTTGCTTGATTCAAAATACACCGGCCTTTTCCGGGAATCTTCGTTACTGGAAACAAGAACCGGGAACACAGTTCTTGTATGTACCGGGGTACAAAATCGCAGTGACAAGATGACATTTGATGATACAAACAAAACACGTGATTTTACACGGTCCGTCAAGGCCGTAGGAACCGTACGGCCGGACCACTTCTGCACGTCCCCCCTAGCAGACATGGTCCTTCGGCCCACGTTATCATACGCCTCGGGCCTACGGCCCTCATGGATGGCCGGACCAACTAATTTTTGCTTCCTACGGCCTTGTCCCAGTTGTCCATGGGTAGTAACAGTCCATGTTATGACATACTTAAGACATTATTCCACTTACCATTTTACTATTTAGCGACTTCTGTCGGAATCTGGTGAAACAGATTCTTCTCTGTGCTATCTTCACGTACTCCGACTGAGAAGTGTTACGTGACTACACGCACACGTGAACGGGGCAGGTGCTGAACGTAATACTCTTACTCTAAGTACTGATGATCCCGTGTAAAGTCTGCTAGTAACAAGGAATATCAACAAATGTGTTTCTGTTTTCCGACAAAGTAAACAAGCCAAATTATTGTCAACAAATGTGCTTAACAAGCAACCAATCAGATGCGTTGTCTGTTAGATAAAAATCAGAAGAATCCGATACGAAGTTGACTTTTTGTAAATGTGTGCCGCTACATCCAGGGGTAGACTGGCTCCATTTGGGTGACGAGTTGTTGTCACGGTTACCAAAACCATGATAACCGTTTTTTTGTTAGGTATAATAATTTTGAATTTGGGGATTTTTTGATTGAAACGGTAGTTGACACGCATGCACAACGCCATATCTCATGCATAGAACTACAAACGTGGTTTGTTGCTCCATGGACTACCAAGACACCATTTTTTAAAATGCTTTTGACTCATAACCACCACATGTATAATCCAAGGACAACGAACATGTTTCGGGGTTTGTCAACGCTTCGATAATACTAATCGATATTCATCGATTTTACAAACATCGGTACTCTATGCGTTGGTGATTGTTTTGTTTTTTTCAGGGGGGAGAATGAGAGGCACTAAAATAATTGCGCCCGTAGATATTTCACCGTGTAGTATAGTAGATTATCAAAGAATCATTCAGAAGGTGAAAAACTGTCCTACTATATCAGTTTTTCATACTCTTTCATATAAAAAAGAACCCACGTGATCAGAAGAAAAGTGCGACCGCCATCTATTTGCCTACGAGACACCTGGAAATATAATTTTAGACTCTAATTATATGGTTTTAAGCCCCAGAAATACAACAAGACCAACAAACATATGATATATCATTTTTTTCATTATTCGTAAGTAAAAAAATAGTGAACAGATATGCTTCAGAAGTTTTGTAATGTAATTACATTATTACAGTTTTTTTTTTTATTCAGTCCGGACGATATCATGTTCTGACACAACTTGACAGCTTAGTAGATTGGAGCGATGCCATGGAACATTTGATTGCTTTCTTGCAACCACATTTGACAATTTCCTTGCATTAATTGGTCGCTTCTGGAAGACATGTCCCGAAAGAAACATTCAATGTCCATCCCCAGTCATTAGGACTTGGTAGCTGTTGTCTTGGTACTAACGCGCGGCCCAAAACATATCCTGCTTGACAGGATGTGTTATACAAGTACAGCTATTGTGGGTGGTATGCACTCAATCTACCTTCCTTTTCCTTGCCTGGTTGACTTGGGTGCATTCACTACTCTGTCAGAAGTATGACAAATCTTACAATCTAACACATTCTCTCTTCTGAGGTGGACGCTTATTGGTGAAATCCAAGACGGCGACCGCAGTTTTGATCGGATCACACGGGTCTTGCTGAGCAGACACAATTATTTAATGTGCTAATTTTCACACTTTTTTCCACATTTTGAACGATTCTCATAAATTTCCGACCTAATCTAGTGTGCCAGTACATGAATTTTCAAATTTATCTGTCTACTTCTAAAATGGTATCAATCAATGACAATTTATAATTTTTGCTATATTAACATTTTGATCATCTATGAAATAATGATTGCATTGAACTTGAACATCTCCGTGACCATTTTTTTGAAGATGTATGTATGTCAACATTTATTTACGTTATGGTGGAGTCTTGAGACACCGTTGTTTGTGGAGGTATAAAGAGATCTTCTATACTTATTCCATGTCACTCTGCCCTAAAGGGTGATAGTTGTTTTATTTCACCTGTTCACTATTATTCATCCGTGATTGTGTGTGTGTGTGTTTTTTTTTTGTGTTTTTTTTTTGCGACCAATATTTTTTTCTCTCTGACTTAAACCTCTGTTTGCAGTGTACCGACGAATTCACTGAAAAACCATAGAGTTATAAATGTGGTGGCTTCCCGGTGGCTTCGCATGGCTCGGTCGCGGTGGCTTGGTCAAGGTCGCGCTATTTTTACTAAACAGGTTTCAAAAAATGTTCTTGACATGGAGCTAACTCATTGAATGATCAGCGTCATTTTACATGTTTCAGTGCGCTACTAGTTGATGGACGGGCGTATCGGTCGTCTTGGCCGACGCTTTCCTTTCATGTGTATTCTACCACAGTCCCTCTATAGAGTGATAGAGGGACTGTGATTCTACGTATTCTTTTCAGCCAAGTGCATTCGACGCGCACACGAGTCTTGCTAGACTTGCTACAGTCAGGTGATTGTTTTTTGTTGTAAGTGAAATTGTCAGTTTCGCGAAATTAGTGACGTCATTGTGAAATTGGGGCGTACATTTCGCTTGTACTATTTCACAATCACCCGCCGTATTGTACCAGTATTTATATTGGATATATATTTGGTGCTTAGTTTGGTTGGGTTTGTTGTTTGAAATGTATAAC